GGAAAATAATTAAAATATTATCGTCGCCGCCTTCAATCATACAATCGTCTAAGAGCGAATGAACACTGAAATAATTAGAATGAAATAATGTTGAGCAGAAAGAAACATATTATGAGCGTAAATAGTTAAAATATATTCGCATTTCTTCGAGAATGGACGGTTCACCTATAAAAATACAATTTGACGAAATCTTGTTAATATTATAGGTGCAATTCATAGTGGTGGTTTCACCAATTATTATCAGATGTGTGCTTTCAAGTGAGTATTTTAATATAATTTTAACATAAAAATTCTTTAAAATGTGGCTAAAGTTTCTTTGTTCTGTTATTAGATATCTTCAATTACGATGGAATTCTACAACAAAAATGGTAAAGAGACTTCAACAGAAAGTTTCTCGTCATAATGGCCAATGGAGCAAAGTTTATTGGAAGCGGTATCGCAAGAAAAAAATTAAATATGCCTTATTTAAATGAAAATATCCCAAAATTTAGATGCTTTGCTTTTATTTCTTCTTTCTAAGAGCGCTTACGGTTTCTACCAATCACGCTGCTAGCTTGCCAGACCTCGCAAATTTAGCCAGTGCCTAACAGAAAATCACTGGATTCGATCTATTAAAACAAATACTTTGGTTTTTGGCAATTCTTATATTGTTGAGATAAATTGGTTAAAATTCAAAAATTGTTAAAAGCCATAATGATAAGCGATTTCAACTTGTTTGTCTTTAAAAATTATTGGTGATATATTTTGGTGATATTGGTGATTTAATTTGAACAGGATTCTCATAATATATACATATAAAAATTATTTTTAGTTAACAATTAATTTATTATTTTACTAGTTTATAATATGAATAAGAAATTGAAAATAAAATTGAAAATTAGTACAATACGTTGAACATGAAATTGGTTGTATTTTAACGATCAAGGAATAAAATTGGAGAGCACATCAAGGTTATGGTCGATGTGTTTTAAGAAATAATAAGAAAAAACGAAAATAGATATTCGAAAATTGCAAAAAAGATCTGAAGTATGAGGATACATACATTATTGGTAAATTCATTAGGAAGATGCCTTAAATTTCCGGATTGATTCTCCGACCTGAATTAGTTGGTTGTTTGTATTTATGTAACGTTTTTCATTATCGTTTGTTCATAGGCTGAATAATTTATGGTTTGCACCTGTCAGTCTAGCGGTTCAACGTAATTTGACTCATCGTTGCTTTAATAGTATAGCCTTTGTTGGCCATTGTTTCCTTTGCGGGTAAGCATTTCAAGAGGTTAGCCGACGCAATCCACATTGTATTTTAATGAGAACAGCGGCAACGTTATAAAGATCCTACATTCAGGCAAATCTTAATTGTAGCCACATGTCCACTATTTTACCGCATACAGATGACCATTACATGTTCTCATATTCAATTCCCTTGTGTTTAGTCAATAAGCTTAATTATAGGAAAATAAACCATTATAATTTTTCATAATAAATGGTTGTTAATAAGAAATCGCTGCTAAAATTTCAATGCTTTCATGTTCTCTTTTACTTGCTCCCCTAAGGTATTTCTTATTATTTCTTATTTCTTGTATGAGATCGTTGGTTTGAAGAAATTTAAGAATAGCATTTAATCTAGATTTAATTCGAAGAACAAAAGAATCTCAGATAACATATCTAGCCGACTCGCTTTACATACTCATAGGCATGAGAGTAGAATGGTCGAACGGTATATTGCCTCGTATTCAGCGGTCAAATTCTGATTCAAATTCTTATTTCTGATGAAGTTAGACCAATTCAAATGATGCTGGTGTTCTATCTCCACTGGCGAAAGGTTATCAGTGGAACCAAGTAAACGAACAGTGGTAATCACGTAACAAACAAGCTAATGGACTTATTGAGAAATGATTTAATTGATGTTTAATATTTTATACTTCTTTAAACTATTTTGCTTGTCTTTCGCTTGGATTACTTACAACTTTAGTTCAAAAAAAGTAGCAATGAGATAAAATATTGATACTTTTCGCATTTTTGGATACGAAAATATGAAGAAATTTTTAAGGAAGAACTTGGAATAACAACTGCAGTGGAGTAACAATGCAATTCGGATAATAAATCATGAATTAATTAATTGATTGGAGCAAAAAATTATGCAATGATAATTCTTTTCCGAATTGCAGTAACGTCGTTTTGTCCAAGTCATTCATTCAAATAAATACTATTTTAACAAACTGAACGGCGTTGAAAATAAGCTTTTTACAATAATTTATGAAAGTTGAAAGATTTGTCTTTATGTTAAGTGGTGCTTGAAATTGACCCGTTTATTATTTTTGTACAGGAATTAGAATAGCCTCCATATAATTTCAGTAATTTTGATGGTAACGGATTTATTTAATAGTTATTCAGAATGCAGTCGATTCGCTAGTTTCTATCTTAATGATTGCTATCAGTCATTTCGATATATTGCGTTTGTTCATGCAGCGAATGGATTAGATGATTATTCTTTTTTTAATCAAAATAAATTTACATGAAAACAACAACAAAATGCAATGGTAACGCTTCGATTAAAGCGATCAAGTCTTCTGCAGCAAATCCTTGTTGACGATTTCGGATCAACCATATATAATCAAAGAAAGATTTGAATTTTACAGCACATTGCTCTCTTTATGCTCTTAGGAAGATTTTCTCAGTGGTGGAGAATTGTCCAAAAATTCATTTGCTGCAAGTTAAAGACGTTAATTCCTCAAAAACTATTGAAATTGTTGAAAATTATCGAAATGTGATAAAGGCTACAAATGCAAGTTAGTTCAAACTTCACTTGGCAAGAAGCATAAATGACTTGTGATATACATATATATATAGTAAATACAATATCAATCGTTTACTATCAGATGGTGAAAGGGCGGTGCGATAAATATTTTTCAAATATATAGGGCGGAGTTCATTGTCTCACCAACCATTGGAACGACAGCGATTGCCTTTGGAATTCATTGTCACCTGTACTGAACATAGTTTAGTGAGTGTGCGTGTGTGGTGTCCGATTACCATTAATCTAAAATTTTTGTCTGAATTAAGGCCTAAAAATATTCGGTAAGAATGACCATATTTTTTGCCTCAGTTTTATTAAACATAATTTGCAAATATAAATTAAATTAAAAATTTTTTTATTTTCATCCATTTAGTTTTTTTTGCAATTCTATCTAACTGTTTCCTTTTCACTTTTGATTTTGTTTTTCATTTTTTTAATTTTATATTTATTTATTATATTTATTTTTTAATTTTATATTTTTAATTTAGTTCTTTTTTTTGTTATTCCTCTCGTTAATATCAATTAAATCACAGAATTCGAGTGATATTTTGCTTCGACTAAGATTGAGCCAACCTAGTTCGAATTAAGTTCGAATTCCGGTTTCTTAATAAGTGGTTTTAATTAAAAAATTAATTAAAACCTCGAAATGGAACTCATAATCAAAAATTGAACCCAAGACACCGTGTTTCTATCCCCAAACAACTCTATAATATAATAATTAATAGAGGGAGCCAAGTTAGAATAGGAGTGCTATGAGAATATTTTTCCTAAAAATATAACCTGCTTAATTTCCAGTTATTTATTATCCAATGCTTAAATTGATCTCTCCGTTTTTCATAAAGTAAGAATGCGTTTTAATCTCCACTGAAAATTCTTTTTAATTACTTAATTGAACTATTTATTATCTTAATTATTCGAAATTGCACATGGCCCCATTCCCCATTTCATTTCGAAGTTTATAAAATCACATTTCAGGCTTTTTTTTCCAATTTATCGCAATATTTGCATTAAACGAATGCCTTCGAAACGAGCATACATACAAAAGAAATCGAAAATCATATTGCCAAAAAAACCAGGTGGATTAATTAATTATTCGACCAAGATTATTAATCATAAGAATTTGCCACTTATCATAATATTCTTATAATAGTCTTTACTATAAAACTATAAAAATGGACAGCTGCGTGGGTTAATGATGATCATTTAGAATAATAACATAACATATATCTCTCATGCTTAATGCTTTCATTCCTTCATCCTTCTTGAATTCCTTTCATCATAATCGAATTTAATGCTTCTTACTTTCATTTTTAACCATCTGCTTTTCCATCGTAACATTTGCTTGAATATTTTTCGAATTCTTTTAAAAAAAATTACAATTTTTGATTTGATTTTTAATGTTAAAATATCTTCCAAAGTGATCTTCGCCGTGATTTTTATGATAATAAATTGATTTTAACGCGTCATATTCTTACGGAAATAATCCTCTTTTTTCACATTTTGTTAATCAGATCTCGATCATTCCTAAGGGCTTCTATACTTATATTTACTTCTATCTATATTTCTCAAGTGATTTTCATGTAAAAAGGTTTTAGTAAAGCAAATCAAACCAAAATTAGTGAATGTTATAGGAAAAAAAGTGGATCAAATAAAATATTTATAAAGAGATCGTTCGATGTACGACTGCGTTGAATCGAAGTTATTGTATTTGTTGATATAATTGTAAGAATAGTTCTACTGGTTTCTTTCTTTTTTCTAGCAGTTTTGGCACTTCTTTATAAAAGATTTTTCACTGAAGCATTCAACAAGTACTGTTTGAGACGGACATTTCATCGGTCATTTCCATTTTAATTCATAATATGAACTATTATCGGTTGTGTCACACTCCATATCATTATTTTATTTTAACTACGTCGGAGCAATTCATGGATTTTTGTTAATTCTTAATTTAACTGTCAAAGATTTTAACCAATTTCTTGTTGAATTGATTATTCGCCATTGTGAATTCAAGAATTATTTAATTGTAGCTTAATAATAGTTCTCTTTCCAGCAACACTCCTCATTTCTGGGTTTAATTAGAAAACCTTAGAAAACTAAGGCCAAAAATATATGGATCCTCCGTTACTCACTATCACTCGCTATCGCTCATATTACTTATTGCGTTCAGATTTTTTAAGAAAAGAGTTAAGATATTTTTTAAGCATATGAGAAAAGCATATGCTAATTATTTTCTTATAAAATTTTTATTCGTTGTAATACGTTTTGTTTCAGAACCACGTAGATTGAAATACAATAAGAACAGTAATGTATCAATCTGTGAGCAACCAGTTTTAAGTCAAGAAGTGGCCGTAGAACTTGAAAGAATCGCAATCGATGTTTTAAATTTACCTGCAAGGAGTAGCGTTCGAAATCCTTGTGCTATTGTTCGTGCTCTTACTCGTCGTATCGCTGATTTAGAAGCAATGGTCGAGGCGCGCTTTAATGATGGAAGCTTGTCACCAGGTTACTTAATCACCATGTGGTACTAGTGGAAAAAGGCTTAAAAGCTTTAGCTTATCACATAACTTTTTCTTCGAATAAATATTAGATTTTTAATTAATTGTTTTAATTGTTTAGAAATATTACAAAAACGATTTTGCAAGAAAACAGAAGGGAAAAAACGATAAAATAGTAGTGCTCAAATTAATTTCGGGCGATTTCTGTGATATGTGTAATAAGGATGAAAAGTCGATGCCGAGCAACGAAAATTCGTGTCATAGTTCACAAAATTCACAATTGCATGCCTTCGGTTTTTTTTCGTATTTTCCTTCGTTGTTTTAGTAATAATTAACGTAATTGCTAGATTGCTAACGATTTTATATTTACTGGCTGATTGTGAATGAACTGTATTATAGATTTATATTTTTTGAAAGTATAGCTTTTATAGATAGCACTGGCTCATTTTAATAGCAAAATGCAATTTCTCTATGTTTCCCATGCATTTCAATGTCATCAATGATGGCTCATATTTAATAAATATTTCTTGTTTTATTAACAAAAGATTTTACGGCGTTCAATGGTCAGTAAAAATTTGCAAAGTAATTCAAATTTACATTAGAATTTAAAAAGATCTTTCTTCTCTGATGAAAAATAACTGGAATGAATTTATCTAAGTAAATTACCTTTAACTTAACTATGGAGAAATACATAATAATAATATAATTAATAAAAATGATAATTATGGTGTTTGTAATAAAGACCTTAACACTGAAGCACTGAAGCCTAGACCAAATGTGTTTTTTGCTTTGTCTAAGGTCAATAGTTCGCAATTCGCACGGGTCTAATTTTTCTCTAGCAAACTTATCATTAAAAGTCTGGATAATAGAGATCCCCCAAGTAATTCTCTGGCGAGGGTCCCATTCTAATAGCTAATGAATCCAGCAGAGCCAAAAATGGTGGGATCTATTTAAAGAAAAAATATTCAACTGCCAAGAAGGTTACATAGCTTTAGCTAACGTTTCTTTTTCTACTATATCAGCAAATACATAACTGTAATAAGAATATTAATAAAAATAATTATTATAGTGTTTGCATAAGCAATAAAAACCTTAAGTTGCACAATAAACGACTCGAATAGTGTGGACTGTCAAGTTCGAAAGCAACACCTGTGCGATTATGTTGATTTGTGAGTTTTTATCGAAGAGAAAGCAGTTTTCTCATGGACAGATGCGATTGCTATCTGTCTAAAAATCTACTAAGTAGGGAAATTTGGAATGACCTTCCCAGGTAATTTGCAAATGATGCGTTTTGATTTTCGGCGCCAGTGGGATATCAATCGCGTCCGAAATAACTGATCATTGGAAATCAGTCCACGCATAATTTCACAAAATGTCTTCCACTTTTCTAGCGCAAAATCGGTATCGCCTTCGTCTGTTAAATGTGGATTTTTATTTTTAAATCAATCTTTATGTTCGGATCATTTTTCTTTAAATTATGCCGAATTCGGCATATTTCTGGATTTTCTTCTTGCCATAATTAAATGCTGTATCTTGAAGGGGGTAAAGCCTAATTAGGGCAAAAAGTTCAGTGACACATGTAATTGATAATTATCCATCAGAAAATTGCGTTGGTCCTCAGCAGGAAACCAAAGTAAATCATGTTTTGTCAGTCATCACATAAAAACATATCCAATTTTCCGGTTCGTTGAATTGCATTGTGTTTGAGTCGTACATCACCACCAAAATTTAAAATAATTATTGCATCGAAATCGCCATCTATTCATGTCATATTTGAAAATTAATTTCAAAATCATTTTAGCAATATTATGCGTGGAATTTTCTTGTAGAATATTCATCATTTCTGGGTACTTGACTGGAAATATAATTGATGCGATTGACTGGAAACAGACTGATTGGTGATGAATCACTGTTTTTTTCAGCTCGTGGCATAAAGACATTTGTATGTTGAAACATTGACTTGCAGCTCATTCATATATTCATATAAGATTGATAAAGGAAGCTACATAAACTTCTGTAATCGTATTGTATTGTAACGAAGGATGGCATTTCAGACATAGGCGGAATTCACTCCAAAAATCGTGTCAAATTATTGCGCTAATTCTTTTATCACTGATGGAAATATTTTTAAGTATATTAAGTATATATAATAACCATCTTAAAATAGCACTAATGCTGCTTAATATGCAAAAATCTCTTCAATTTCTTTTCTTTTTTCTTTTTTTATCAATTTCTTTTTATCATTACCAATCATAACGAATTGATAAACGAATAGTCTCATTTTACAAACACTGGATTTGCAGATAAAGTCTAAGTCTAAGCCAAATTGAGTCAATTTTAAAAAATGCAGTAAATGCAGTATTGTATTCAATCTTATTTTAAAGCTAATCATAATTGATAAAAACTACCCCAATACTTTTTTCTTTTTTTTTTTAAGAATACTCACCATTACTGGTTAAACTCGCTCTACTGGCTTGTCGCATTGGGCAAGAAGTCCCCTGGAAATTGGAATACAGGTGAGTCGAGAGCATCACCCAGATTTTTGCACAGGTTTACTCCTGCGGGAAATCGAACCTCAGCATTGGCGCTCTCAATTGAGCAACAACCCACTGGAGTGCTTAATACCAATAGTTAAGCAATTTTCTTTGTGTAGTGTATGAAATTTTTTGGATAATTCGGAAGAAATAAAAATAAGATTTTATGCGAACACATCAGTAAAGATATTGAACAATAATCAACTGTTCTATTTTGTAGTTTCTGTGTTTCCATCGAAATAACAGGATGAATAAAGCAATTACTTTTTTATGAAAAGTGTTTGGTTCTCATGCTGAAAAAAAATTAATTATTTTTTCGACGATCCATTTTTTTTACATATGAATTATTGGAAAATATATTATAAAATAAAATGGAACAGGTGGAACGATTCACAATTTTAAGATCGAAAATACAATTTTAGAGGAACGACGTAAATGATCGACGTACTAATTGTTACTTAATTGCTTACTTATTCGAACTGTTAAGTAATTTTTCACATCGCTTTATTTGGGCTATTAGAAAACAGACATCACTCGTTGTATTTATCGTTTCGTTATAGTTGTGTATATTGTTTAACTCGTTTAACCTTGCTCTTAATTTCTACTTCTACCAAAGCAATGCTCAAATGACAATAGCAATTATAAGTTTAAGTCCAAGCGATAAGGAGAGAACCTACGAAAAAGCCCCAATTTTACGAAAAATCCCAATCTTATAACATTAAATTCCTATGATAAAAATCCCAATCTTATAACATTAAATTTAAAGAATGCATTTAAAATTTATTAATAAAAACTTATTGATATGAAAAATTTTTGGGATTCTTTATTATCATTTCAAAATGCATAACCATTAATTGCAATATACGTATGCCAAGTAAATAAGAATAAGTTTAAAGAGTTTAAAGAGTAAGTACCATGCATTCCAAGTACGAGGTCGAGTAATAAAAAGCGTCATTTATTTGAATTCTGCACTTATTGTTGAGATTGTTTTAGTAAATATTATGAGAAAAAGTATATTTGTAGCTGTTTTAAGCCGGGAAAATATTGTCATTGCACCGCAAATGATTTTCATTGACAAAAGTCATTCTTAGTATTTGATTTGTTTCTCCTTGTTGAACTCATTTCATTTGTTATATTTTGGTGAAAAGAGTCTGATAAATCTATTTGTTCGACAACTTTGCACCTGTAAGCGGCCACGATAACTTCGGCAAATTTAATTTTGGCTGAAAATTAATTGTTTGCTTTAATTATAATGATATTGGACAATGAATGAAAGAAAATACAAAGATGTATTGTATTCTTGTACGCGGTCATCGGCTTGAGATATTTGTTAGCTTTCCCACCGGTAACTCTCTCTTATCCGAAAACTTCCTAATACCTCTCATTTTTGAAGCTATTTCTTAGTGTTTACCCACTGCCTTGTCTTAAGTGCAGTCATTCTCTATAGTTATTGACATTTGCGGATAAGAAAAATAGGACAAAGTCGCAAAATAAAAAGCGAAATCAGGAAAGTGGTCAACTCAAATCAATTTTTTTTCCTTATTTATCCGAACAAATATAATAATTATGCACCTATAATAATAAATTTGCGTGGAATAATGTGTAATGAGCAAATAGAAAATAAAGAAAATATTTTTTTGATCTTTTTCATTCATTATCCATTTTAATAGCTTTGCCGCTGTAGTATTTTATAACGAAATTTTTGAACTGTTTAGGCTGTTCGTTGAACCTCTTTTCTTGGTACAATCATTCTTTTTCCTGAAAAATTAATCAAACAATATCCAAATGTTTATATGAATAACGGCGTATTCACCATCATGACTATGAAAGGTATATCAATAAAATATAAAACTATAACACACTTTTTCAGCACAAATTTAATAAAGCGCGATAAATTCCTTTAATGATTTAGGGATCAAGGATTAAATTAAAAACTTTGCAAAGGAATAGATAATTCATTTAAAAAACTTGTTTTAAAGATTTATAATTGCTCGGTTTCTATAGCTGCGGCTAATGGAACTGAGGTTCCAAACGAAAACTGGTCAATTGGAAGATAGAGATCGAAGAGACGTCATTCACTGTAATTGGCATATATGTGATGTGGCGACGATCAACTTTACAATGGGTTAATTTGTCGTTCATATATGTATGAGATGAGCGACAAACATGCGCACGACGATATTGCTTTAATTCATGCGCCGATCGCCAGCAATTTGCTGAACATTCCCACAGTTAAACACCTGCTGTGCATGAGAATAACTCTTTTCCTGTTATCTGTTTAATCGAAAAATAGGCTAATTAATCGCGAATTTTGTTGATAATACCGAAATTCTTTTTTTTGCGTCAATCTGTTTTTTCTTTTGTAAATATGGAAATTTAAATTCGAGTAATAATAAATGAACGAGATTATTTTAAAAATTTCCCTAAATGCAAATTCAGAATATCAAAATTCAGAATTTGCATTTATTTATAATTAAGAATGGAAAACAAATATTTTTT